GTGGCTGTCGAGAAAGAAAATAAGCAATTGTGTAATTGGAATTGATAGATTACGACTGTGACTGCTCAGTAGTATTCATACACAGACAAACACACACACACACATACACGCACGTACACACACAAACACACACCCCTACCTACACACTGACTCGCACACGGACACACGCACACGGACACACACACAGTTTATGTAAACCGCCCTTTCTCTTGTCTGCGAGACCAGTGTTTCTCAACCATGACCTACTTCAATTGGATGGATTGTCTTGATTTTACTGGTTCCACGTATGTAGTGTCGATCTTTCTACTAATTTAGATCTAATTATTTTCCTTTTTATGGCGTGTCGTCACTCAATTTTGAGACATCGATTGCGTTACTGAAAGTTGTTGATGTTTGTATCATTAGCCCGGTGTGATGACGACACGTCACGCTAACGTCATCAGCCCAAGAGTGATTTTCACTATTCGGCCGAATACGAATAACGGGACCAACTATTCGGCCGAATACGAATAGTGTATAGTCTATAAAATATATCTTTTAAAAAAAAAAAACACACACACACAAATTCATAATGTCAAATGTACGCTGAACTTTTACTTCACATAAAGTAGCACAGAATAGTCATTTTCTTCTTTAGCATTCTGAGCCCTTGAGGTTTACTGCTGCAGATATCACTCGTCTCCATTCATCTCTCTGGTTGGCCTTCTCTTCACAATTTGTGACACCAGTTGTTTGCATGTCTGGCTGGACATTATCTCTAACTTCTTCTCTTTTTTTTTTCTGCCTCGTGGTCTACGCCCATTTCTCTCTCAGGTGTATACAGTTTTAATTCTCTGTTATCTGACATTCTTTCAATGTGCCCCGATCATTTTAGTCTGTTAGCTCTCAAGATGCCAGTGATCAATGGTGATTTAAACAGATTATGAATTTCGTTGTTGCTTCTCACTCTACATTTCCCGCTGTTAGCATCTTTGATGGGTCCAAAGATTTGTCGTAAGACTGTTTTCGAAAACCTGTAATAAGGCCTCATCTCTTTTTTTTCTGCTTCAAGTTTCAGAGCCATATAAAACGACTGGTCTTATCGACGTTTTATATATTTTGAACATGGTGTTACGAGACAGCACTTTGTCTTTAGCAGATGTTGAAGGATATAGTATACTTTATTTCTAGATTGTATTCTAGATTGTATTTCTTCTTGCAGCATGTTAGAGCAGTTAAAGTTTGCATCCAAATACTTATATGTTTCCGTTCGTTTGATTTTCATATTATTGACTTGGATGTAGCCGGAGTTTATATTCTTTCCCTGTCTAGTTAGTATCCGTGAAGAATAGTAAACATTTAAAAACATTTTATGTTTTGCATCTTTCAGTCAGTCTGCGGTAACTAATAACTAGAAATGAAAGAATCCTAAGTGTTATAACAAGTAACTAAACTTGGAAATTGTCACTGACAGCTTAGTTAATACATGAAAGCTGCATTAGCTTTTAACAAAACCAGTCGTTCCATGTTGTCAGCTTAAAGGCCGTATATGCAGAAGCGGGTGTAAGGTAACTACTATTCGTATTCGACCGACCGCAACTATTCGGCCGAATACCGAATAGTCAGTATGTCCACTATTCGGCCCCGAAGCGAAAACGAAGCGAATATTCTGTACAGCCCTAGTTTTAACTCACGGGTCACAGAATTGTCCCTGAGGGTGGCCACAAAAATACAGCTCAGTAATGTAACATGGTAGGGTAGGTGGTTGTTCTCTTCCAGCCTGTAGCATTAACACACAAAGGATTTCCAGTTTATGTAAAAAGACTTTCTCAGGCATGTAAATAGTTTTAAAAAAAATTATGTCGAGGTTATGTTACTACAATGTTTAGTATGTCAGAAACAAAACTCCAGCTACATATATCAAATTCTGTTTAAACCTGTAAGCAGAGCAGATGTCACATCAGCTGAAAAAAGGTAATTTTATGATTTTCGATTTAACAAAAAAACTGTTATCTACATTGGCTTTTTTTTTTTTTTTAGCTGCCAGAAGGGCCACAAAACTATTCCCCACATTTCGGTGGGCCGCGAGGTTAAAAATGTTGGAGGAACACTGTGCTACAAGTCTTTTACACTTCGGCCCTCTTGGCTTGTAGGAGAAGCTATTTCCCCTGTGGGCCCACATTCCATTGCTGGTGTGTGACATTCCTCACCGTCGGTCTCAATGGGTGTGTTTCCTTGGTCATTCCGTGTGTTAGTTTTTAATCTGCTGTTGCTGATTTAAAACTGTACATAAACTTTGTAAAAATAATTATCTAACTTCTTGTCCCCATTAGACTAACAAGAACTTACTGCATTAATTAACTTTTAAATAAAATCATACTTTACTTTAGGAAGGACAAAACAACTACATATACTGTATATTCTTATATAGGCGTATTCTGGAGAAGGCGGTGGTTTCTGGGACCTCTCCATGGGTGATCCTCAGCCGCATGGTGGCACTCTGTGTCAGCGAGTGTTTATCGCTTTGTGTGATGTCCTGCTGGGGTACAACGTACATACATACATACAGATCAGGCAGGCCGCCACCAATAAATCTCTGGGAAGGACAGTGCGGGGGCCTTTAGTCCCCTTATTTTTCTAGGGACCGTGTTTAATGCGCAATAATAATTATATTTTAAATTGCAACTAAATAAAATATCTTTTAAATAATATTAAATGTGTAAACAAAATACTTACAAAGATTGCGTCTAAATATGGTTACGGCTGAGAATCGCCTCCCAAAAAAACCAACACAATTTTCATTGTCAGCGCTCACGATGAATTAAAATCCAGTTGCGGTGCCTATAGGAGCAGGAGATATAGGGATAAAAACAAGGGGTGGGGAGTGGGGCTGTAAATATCCCAAATGTTTTGTTATTTAAAACAGTGACAAAGTAATTTGTAGTGCATTGATGGTGAGTCGACCGTGGTTTCGATTATGATGTTCTAAATGCTTCTACATCTAAAGGTAGTCCGCGAGCAGATACTGTTATTGATGTGTGAAATATTACGTTTGGTTACGTTTTATGATGCGGTATAGAATGTGTGGTGGCCAGTCCTTTTCCTTGCCGCCATTCCTTGCCAGAAATTATCAGATACCCATTTTTATAAGGCTGTATCTACCCCAGAGCAGTGTTTCCACAACATTATGCCACTTGTGGGTATTTAACCCTGACCTTCACTAGTGGGTTCTTGTTATTCATTGAGGGGAAATTAATGAAAAACCAGAACTTTTTATCGGAGTTTACAGCCGGTGAACTTGAAGAAGGAGGAGGAGGAGAGGAGAAGAAGAAAGAAGAAGAAGAACCGCCAGATGTTTATGCTACAGCCAGGTGAACCCTTTACATCAGCGGTCCCCAACTTCTGCTCCGTGTGCACTTCCCGGGCGCTCCGCGACTGCTGCAAGAAAAATATAAAAAAAAAAAAACATTGAGTGACTTTAAAATAAAGAAATGACACCGTTTTATATTAACTCTGGAAGAACGTTCATATGTAATCAAGTTTTCCAAATATCGCATGTAGTGGTAGAAGGTGAGAATAGACTATTATATGAAATGTCAAAGCTGTTGTTAAAATACAATTTCATTGCGTGGACATTGCGCGCTTCAGATATCTTTTAACTTTGCATTGCCATACTATCTAACACCTACTTCTGCGTTTCATAATATTAATGCTAAACACCATTAACTTGTAAGATACAGGGCACGGGTCGTACGGAAGGCCTCAGTGGCTCCACCAAAGAAATTAGGTCTAAAATGGGCTCTCTGCGTTAAAGTAGTAGGAACCACTGAATTACATTATCATTTGTCTTCTAATGTTGGTGTTACATGTTTTCAACCAACGTATTTTTCTGTGTTCCGCACGTTTTTCCAAAAGTGTTGATATGCCATTTTTGTTTGCTGTTTATGCTTACAAGTGTGGATTGCCAGGCCACATTTGGGAAGGACCAGGAGTCTGGTTTGGCCACCCACTTTCCTTTCAAAAGCAAGTCTTGAAAGGCGACTAACGAAGGGTTTGCTTCAGTCAGAAGTGTTGGGGCGAAGGTTGCAGAAATCGCAACCTGTTTGTAAAACAGTACAGTCTGCCAATCATGTTTTTAAGAGGAACTTTGAAAGGGGAGGATAAGACATGGGATTCTTGCCAGTTCCACAACTGATCCTACGGCCATACTCTAATAATAGAGTTCGTTAGTCTTTCGAGAGCTACCTTATCCATCCTAAGGTTACCAAGTCAACCAGGGCACTCAACATCGTACACAGTTTTTTTTTTTTTTTTAATATCTTTAAGGTCCAGCCCTTGTCACCCACGGCCTTTTCTGGCCTGCATTTATTCTCATTGGCAACACAGGTGTCAGGTACTCTACTAGCCTGCATTTATTCTCATTGGCAACACAGGTGTCAGGATTCTACTGGCCTGACAGAAAAGTATTGTCAGTTAATTGATTTTGTGTATTTGTGTTCGTACTTGTATTGTAGATTTATGGAAAGTACCGATGAACGCTCTCTAGCCAGAACGTCCACTTGTTGTTTGTGATATTGTGAAGCTGACTGGTTCTGCATTTCGTTTGGTTTGATATATTTCCACGACAGTTGAACACCATAGTATATTACCAACCTCAACGTTTGCCATTGACACTCCTGTATCATTTCTCATTCATATATCGTCGGCCGAGTCGAGGCTGCCACGGCCAACTATCAAGGACCCAGCGTGGGCAAAACAAGATGTTGCACTTTCCACAACGCGAATAAACTCGCATTAAAACATGTTCTGTATATTCCACACTTGAACTATATTTAGACTATGACATCACACATCAACATCAAGCATGGTTGCTTCCATGCAACTGTATAGAAACGTGCAGGTGTATTTGAGAATGGGTGCCTGTAGAGGTTCAGCTAGTATCTAGGTGAAAGGTGGGTAGGTGGAGGCGAAAGAGACTGAGAATTTCTAGATTGTAGACACATATTGTAACAATCTTTAAGTGTCCTGTCAGGGGCACACCTTTGCGATGATGACTCCCAATTTGTATCATCATTATCATCTCTCTTTCTCTGTCTGTCTGTCTCTTCCCCCCTCTCTCTCTCTCTCTCTCTCTCTCTCTCTCTCTCTGCCCCCTCCCCCCTCCCCCTTTTCATACATTCATTTACTATCTTATTCTCTCTCGTTCAACAGTTGAATGAAGTTGATATTAAATATACTGCGATATCAAATCATTAGCTTCCAGGCTAACTTTTTGTTTTGTTTAAGTAGCTAAAACTTATAGTTCGTGGGTTTTATCTCCTTCAACGTAGTGCCCGTCTAATTGCATACATTTATTCCAACGTTCTTATCAGTGACGGAAGCGCTTCTGGTAGGTAGGCACATTCCGTGACGGCCCCCAATTATATCCTCGCCAAGGCTTAAATTTCTGTATTGTCGTTGAGTCGGTGACTTCACTTTTTTAATTCACTCATCCGTGTTTAGTTAACTTCCCATGCCATTCTTGTTTCGCGTTTCAGTTTCTTACACAAGGTAACAGGAGTATTCGTTTCATAGTTGTTCATGTCACCCGCTGTGTGGGAGACTGGTGGCCTGGATGCTCTGCCCTTTGTTGTTGTCGACTGTTGTTGTTCGTTCATCACAAGTGATGATGACCAGTTCTTTCCTCCAGTGTTGACTGGGTTAGGTTTTGTAAGTGCGCAGATGGCCGATAAGGCCCATTCTAGCACTGAAAGTTTTTTAACAATGTGGACAAGGAATGGAATCTCTCTAGTGATTTGCTTCAGTATCTTTCCTGGCTTGTTTTTTTTCCGAATTGCTGCTGCAGTAGCAACTTCATGGGCCACAGCTCCTTGACGAAGAGAGGAGCGCCAGAATGAGCGGGTCATGCAGCCACTTTCCAGGTTTCAGGATCAATACAGAAGTCTTTCAGTGAGGTCTTGAGGCTGACCTTGAGAGCTTTTTCCTTTTAGTAGCTCACCATACAAAATTCTTTTTGGCAGTCGGTGGTCAGGCATGCGGACAATATGACCTGTTCAGCAAAGTTGTGATTGTTTTAGAATCGAATAAATACTGGACATTCCAGCTCTGTCAATGACTTCAGTGTCAGGGATCCTGTCTTGCCATTTTATGTTCAGCAACTTTCTGAGGCATACCCTGTGGAAATGGTTCAGCTTCTCAGCATGACGCTGGTAAACGGTCCATATTTCACAGAGAAGTACAGGATATACAACAGCTTTGTACACTTTGAGCTACATTTGCAGGCTGATGCCAGCTCTATTTCAGACTTGTGTACGAAGTCTGCTAAATGCGCTGCTGGCTTGTTGTTGTGGGTATGGTTTTTGTCAATAAGGGCTCCTGCCAAAACATCCCATTTGTCTTTTGTGTGCCTGTGTATTACACACACACACACACACACACATATATATATATATATATATATATATATATATATATATATATATATATATATATATATATATATATATATATATATATATATATATATACACACACACCCCCCTCCCCACCCCTTGTCATTAGGCTTCTTAGTCGCAGTTCAGTGGATTAATTTCATGGTATTCTCATGACTGCAGTCACCTCAGTTTTCATCACTTATGCTGTGTAACGAGAAGTCCCACAGAGCATATTTATGGCATTGTGATGCTGGGGCGTCTGTGGATTACCTACCTCCGTGGGCAGCAGCCAGAAATGCCCTGTACAAGTTTTAAAGGAAATATGGGTTGTGTTTCTGCCTTCCCCTTTGACACGTAGCTAAGGTGGGGCTCACAGTGTGCTCATTCCCCACCACCATGATTGCCTGCTGGTTTCGCTGAGCTCTTCATGGCTCTAAGCATGGCCTAAGCATGAGTAGTTCGGGCAACTGGATCGTCACATTCTGAGTCCCTGTGCCTTCACAATAGTTTCATGTATTCAGGGGAGTTGGCATACTTGTTTCCATTCCTATGACTGTTCAGCACACCTCCGACCCCTTTCCCCCCACAGGGGGTACTACGGTGTGGTGCACCGGGTTTATTATCGAGGTTTGCTCCTCTAGATCCATTGTGTTTTGCTTGGGGGTTCGCACCTCCAGTTACCACGATTACCTCAGGGAGGCTGTGACTCTTCGCCATGCACAATGGTCTTGGGGTAAAAGAGGTTGTGCTAGGTCAAGAGGCTGACACCGCAATTGACGCTTCTTTCATGAACAGATATTCACTAGACCTAGGGTGAAGTAGGGGGGAGGGGGGAACCACTACCCACAACACCAACACGTCTTACCCCCTGACTCTCGAGGTTTAGTCTCGTCCCACGGAGCAAATTATGAAGAGTATAGAGGCAATAGAACACAGGGACTGGATCTCACCTGAGTGCCTAGGTTACCTTGAGCTCTCCAAAACTATTTGTCGGTGGAGGTAGAAAAGGGGGTGGGGGCCTCATGCTAGAGGCGATGTAAGGCGGCCATGTTGGCTTTCCCCCATCCATGTATAGAAGTTGATGTCCGGCCACTAGATTCAGATGGATACAGGTGAGAGAGGGAGGTTGACGAAATTGCGCAACTCTTCCTCAGTTCAATCCAGTTCATCGCGTTAGTCACCTTTTCGTACATTTCATCCAACGAATGATAGAAGTTAAGATGCCTGATAAGGGCTGCACTGGTGGCCAGAATAGATCAAATCAGGAATGAGGTCATAAAAGACAAAGTCGGCACAGAACCAATTCTGAATTACTTAAACAACAAATCAAATGGTTCAGCCCTTAAAAGAGAATGCCATGTGACACCATACCATGCAAGGCATACTCCAAAAGAGGAAAACACTGTAGAAACACATAGTAGACCAAGAACAAGATGGAATGATAACATCTGAGAAACTGCAACAGCAAAGGCGGCCAAAAGAGCAAACAGCACAACCTTATATACTCTGAAAACCCAAAGCGGTAAAAGAGAAAGTAAAGAAGAAGAAGAAAAAAACATTTAGAAGTTATATTTGTAAGTTTTTTTACATACTTAACATTTAATTAAAATATGTTGATGTATTTATGTGGCATTCAGCACATTATTATTATTTTAAGCACTTAAATGTAACTTAGGTCGCTTGATAACCCTCCCCTAAAATGTTTGCAAAATATGTAAAGAAGTTTAAAGCACCACTGCAGTTTAATCTTGTTTCACCAGCATGGCATAAGGGATAATAAACTTGTGAGCAGGAGCTTTGTCGTGGTGCAGAATCCATATATGATTTTATCATTTCTCAAGGCGATGTGTGCCAACAGATTTGCCGAGATGTTGCAGGGTACTCCAGTCAGGTCCGTACTCAGGTTACTTGGTAACCATAGGAGCCCCAGTATAACCCTAAAGATTGAACGGGGCTTACTGGGACTGGCTTACTGGGACTGGCTTACTGGGACTAGCACATATAGTATTCTCATGCTTGATGTGTTGATCCTGCTGACTGCAGTCCTGGAAGGCACAAGCTACAATATCAACAACTAGGCTGTTATGCACAATTCAACATTGACCTCTGTCTGCTCTTAAGGGATTTGCTGGTGATAAACTAGCCCATAACTTGCGAAACATGAACCTGGCTGTGACATAAGTTTTCACCTGTTGTGCCTTTGCGACTCTGCTTTTACACCCATCATATTCCGGCTGATCTGACCATTTCTTATTTTGGCTTCTTTCAGTTTCATTTTTCTTCTCCAATAGGTAGTTATGTGAATTTATTTATATCATGTGTCTCATAAATTCAGTTATGTAAATTTATTGGAATTGTTTCTCTAGTTCTTTCAGTTATATAAATTTATGTAAACTGTTTGTCAAGCTCTTTCAGCTATGTAGATTTATTTAAATTGTTTCCATCATAGATTAAGATGTATAAATTTATTTAAAATGTTTCTCTAGTTCTTTCAGTTATATAAATTTATTTATGCTGTTTATCTTGCTCTTTCAGTTATGTAAATTTATTTAAATTGTTTCCATCATAGATTAAGATGTATACATTTATTGACCTGGCCCTAGTGTCTCCCTCCATTGCACCAGGATGCAGGTGGAGCACACTGGGATACCATGACAGTGATCACTTTCCGTGCGTCGTCCTGGTGGAGAAGAGCAACAACAAAGGTCATGTAATCAATGTGCCTGCTTTTATATATGACCGTACAGGGCAAGATGCCATTAGCAAAATCAGACGACGCAATACAAGAGCAGATCGCAGACGGCGGGAGAGATGGGCCCAGCCACCATGGTGGAATGAAGTAGTCAACATAGCGTGGCTAGAAAAAAGGAACGCTGTCAAGGCATGGCAAAAGGCAAGGAAAATTGATCCGTCACTTTCTGAACGCCTGATCAGTCTGAAAGATGAGGTCAACAAGCGGACAGTGGCTTTCAAGTTAATTGCGAACGAAGCCAAGACAGCGAAATGGAACGAATTCTGCAAGAGCGTTTGCTCCGAGGGATCTCTTGTGACATTCTGGCGCCTTCAACGGAGCATGCACGGCGCCGCACGACCAAGGGGTATCCCTGATTTTCAGGGTACAGACCTGATATGGCAGAGAACTGATGCTGATAAAGGAAAAACCCTCCTTGCGCGTTACTTGGAGCAAACTGACCAAAAAGACGAAGCTGCAAGAATAGGGGTTAAGATGAAACTGTCGATGCTGTGCGAGAACACTGAGCTAGGCACTGATTTCACAATCACTGCAGACACCTTAAAAACTTGCCTCAAGAAATCACGCAGCACTGCTCCAGGTCCTGACGGCATCCGATACAATGACATGCTGATGATGTCGAATGCTGATTTGAAAAGCGTGGCAAAGGAATTCAATATCAGCATCCAGAGTGGCCAGATACAAGAGGAATGGCTCCATAGTTATTTGTTTCCACTACCAAAGCCTAATAAAGACCACTCAAAGATCTGCGGCTACAGAATCATCTCGATGCAGAATACTGTTGGCAAACTTTTGGAAAAAATTGTCGCACAAAGATTGACCACCTACTTGGAACTACATGATAAGTTCCCATTAACACTTGGAGGGTACAGATTGAATGCTGCTGTTTTCGCCTACGATGTGTACGAGGGATTTCAGATTAAAGAAGAGACATGTGCGGCAGTGTTGGACTTAGAAGATGCCTACAATAAAGTACCATATGATTATTTAATGCAATTACTGCTTAAACTAGAAGTCAATCCTTTTCTGATCCGCTGGATTGCTGCGGTCCTGTTCCAGAGAAAGATTGTACCAAGATGTGGTAGCTGGTCCTCAGAACCGCAAACGATATGTCCAGGCTTGCCACAGGGATCACCGCTATCACCAGTCTTATTCAATGTTTATACGGTGATGATCACTGAGCAGCAGTTGAATGGAAAGGGAAGGACTTTGTCATTTGCTGATGACATTTTGATTTATCGACGAGGGCGTGATAGACAGGAGATCGCCAGCACAATGCACAAAGAACTCGATCGAATTTCCGCCTGGTGTGATGGTTCCAATGCCTATGTCAATCCCTCGAAGGCATCAGTGTCATGGTTCTCTTTGAACAATCACATTGTCAAGTCGGACTTACCAGAAGTGAAAATGCGTGATAATGTATTGATCAGAACCAACGTTATGACGTTTCTCGGGGTGAGGTTCGATCGCAGCTTGTCATTCAGGGAACACGTTGACCATGCGATAACAAAAGCACGCAAAGGTCTATCTGCAATGAGGATTATGGCTGCTTCCAATATCGAGCAAAGACTGCTGGTGCTTCTATTCTATGGTCTGGTCCTTTCCCCCATTGAATACGCTCTGGCCATCCTCACTGTCAGTGCTACCCAGATTGAACGACTCGAGAAGGTGCAAAATGAAGCCATGCGTATTATTTTGGGATGTACAAGAGACACATCCTGTGGACCATCATAGATTAAGATGTATGTATAAATGTATTTATAATGTTTCTCCAGTTCTTTGAGTTTATAAATTTATTTGTACTGTTTCTTTCGTAGGCTATGTTTGATAGATTAACTGATGTTTTTGATTCCTTAACTGGTACTATTAGCCATCGGACGTTGGGATTCATACTGAGGGGAGGATCTGAGCACCTATGGACATGTCCGGAGTGCAATGATGATAACCCAACTAACTAACTAACTAACTAACTAACATTTATTTATAATGTTTGTTCAGTTCTTTCAGTTATATAAATTTATTTATACTGTTTAGCTAGCTCTTTCAGTAATGTAAATTTATTTAAATCGTTTCCATCATAGATTAAGATGTATAAATGTATTTATAATGTTTCTCCAGTTCTTTGAGTTTATAAATTTATTTGTACTGTTTCTTTCGTAGGCTATGTTTGATAGATTAACTGATGTTTTTGATTCCTTTGCTGTTTCAGTGAACTCTCGCACTGTTGGGTCTGACTGGAATGGAGAGAAAAATGACCCCATGCGAAGCGGCAACATGAGTGTCAATGGCTCTCAAACCCATAATGAATGGGACCACCTGCCTAGTGTCCCAGAGCAAGCAGGTGGGGCATCAGTGAAATGAAGAACATTTGGCCCAAACAGGGAAAATAAAGTGTTAAGTGTTTTTAGAGTATTGTGAATTGAAAGGCACATGATAACAAAAATGGACGCCAAAGAGAACATACTTGTTTTTTTCAAACCACTTGTCATTCACATAGTAATTTAATTATTCTTCTTTTTTTTTTAGCAATCGCCAGCTTTTAATTCCTGGGGAATGTTCTGGTTGTTTATCCATTTCTGTCCTTTAGTCTTATTCCAGAATATGAGGTGTTAGTACATCCGCTTTACAGATCTGGCTTTTTTTTTTTGTATACAGACTATTGGGTCCATGCAGATGCACTCTAACTTTGAAGGAAATGTTTTTAATTGGTCTCTTTTAGCGACATACTTGTAGATTGGCAGTAGGTCTATGTGCTGTTATCACCCCCCACCCCCCAGCTCCCACAATGGGGCCCTGGAACAAACATTTCTTCCATTCAGTACTTCTAACTACTCATCGTTCACATGGCAGTTGTATTTTATTTATAAAGCATATTATGTGAATACAAATGAAAAGTTGTAACAAAAAGGGAAGACAAAAAAAAAGAATGAATGAATACAAGAACCTTTTTTTCGAAATTATCATAACCTGGGCATGTAATCCTGCTTTCAATTCAGCGCTCCCAACCATTCAACTTTCACACACCAATTATATTTTATCTATAAAGCATATTCTGTTCATACAGCAATATAGATAAGTACCCACATACATGACTTGACCACTCAGTTTGGGTGGATCAAGAGCACAGCCATGATCCATGGTTCTGGTGATTATGTGAAGTTATAGACTCTGTCCGCTTATGCCTATCAGCATGGCACATAATGATGATGTGTAATACATGACAGAACATGTTGTTTTTCATCTTTGTCTTCTTGTGTCCCAGCTGTAGGCTCTTGAAGTGCTTCAGTCTTCTTTTCATTCTCCCTGCCAGTTGTTTTCAAATGAGAAAGCCACAGGTCTCTGTCAAGTCTGTGAAGTGACACATGTCTCCACTATTCCTGTAACTCCTTTTTTTCTGAGATCTAGTCTAAGGAAGCTAATAGCTGAGCTGATTTTTTAGTGAATGAATAAATGTCAGAGGCAGTCAAGCAAACCAAGTATTGGGAAAGCTGACCCATTTGTGTAGGTTTTCTTAATTGCTTTTGTTTTTTCAAGAATTCATGACCCATTTTGTAAGTGTTCCTGGTGCAAAAGAGTTAAAATCAATATGCTGTTATGAAAAGGCTCAAGTAAAGTACCCTCTTCCAAGCCTTGAGGCATGTGGTGCTCACTCCACTCTTGTTCGAACTCTGACAACCTTGGACATAAATGCTAACCACTTTGGACATGAACACTAACCACTTAAAATGCTTAACCACGAGTCGTACATGAACCCTAAGTTTTTTCTAGGTTTTTACATTGTAACATAACTCGGACTTGAACGCTAACAGCCTTGGACAGGATTGCTAACCACCTTGGACATGAATGCCAACCGCCTTGGACAGGAACACTAACCACCTTGGACACGAATGCTAACCACCTTGGACATGAACGCTAACCACCTTGGCATGAATACTAACCACTTTAGACATGAACGCTAACCATCTTAGACATGAACACTAACCACTTCAGACATGAACACTAACCGCCATGGACATGAATGCTAACCACCTTGGACATGATCACTAACCACCATGGACATGAATGCTAACCGCCATGGACATGAATGCTAACCACCTTGTACATGAACACCAACCACCTTCTACATGAACACCAACCACCTTCTACATGAACACCAACCACCTTCTACATGAACACCAACCACCTTCTACATGAACACCAACCACACAGGAACTGAGTGATTTTCTGGCAGGTTGTCATGATAGTGACATCCTGCAAGGATCCACTATAAATGTTTTTTTTTTGTTTTGTCTTTCATCATCTTTCTTTTGCACTTTATTATCATTATTATATTATTACAGACCGTATTATGTAAATTGTACAGAAAGATACCTAGAATACTATTTACCTAGAAGAAGAAAAACACAGATATCCTACATGATCTAAACATGGAAGAGAACTGACTCATAAACAGCATCATGTTCCAAAAGCTATGGTGTTTTAGCCATTGTAAGTGTCATGGTGGCCTGGAGAGAGTGGGGATGGAGGTACAGTTTCTGGAATATGTAGCAGAGACTGACATCATGGATGCAAGACACTGAAGATGTACTGGCTATGAAAACACATAGGGCTGGATAATTGGCTAGAGAAAGAGAGACTTTCAGATGTTCCTTGAGGAGAACAATGTTCTATAAAAGACCTGCTGATTGATGATGATTGTTAAATATTTTTCAGGAGTTGAAGCTACTCTTTTTCTCATTGTACAGCTCAGATCTCCATGATTGATTCAATCTTCGTGAGGAGTTACCTAGTTCCAGATCCAGTCAAGAAAACAAACCGACAAACAGAAGCTGTTCGAGTGGAATCTCTGTCAAAAGATTCCACCTTGCCACCTCACACTGGAATACAGCATATTTTCTCTTCTTCTTCATTCAGGTAGATGTAATTTGTTATATTACATCATGTTGTTGCATTTGATGTCACTTTATGTAATAAATTGTACACAGACCTGTGATGTAGCAGCCACCTTACAGTATCTCTACCGACTGTTCTCATGGTAAGTTGTTACAGTGACTTCTATCCTGACCTTGAAGCCATCCCTGACTGGGCTTTGCTTTGAGGTCATGCAATAATATTTTTCACCAGAGACTGTATAATCTGCCAAAACAGTCAGTGTTGTTGCATGGAGAATGCCAGATCTGTCCCTGCAGCTTTCCACATGCAATGGTACAGTACTTGAGGTCATGTTTGGTGGAAGTGTCAGCGAACTCTGTCAGTACTAAAACAGGCTATCCTACATTCCGCTGTCATTGCAGAGATAATACAATGTCCTTGCTGTTTTCTACCCCAGACAGGTATTTTTAAAATCTGAATTATTAGTTAACCTACTTCTTTCCCACATTGTCTATGTTGAACACACCGTGACCTTAGTATTTCATGCTTCTAGGTCAACTCCTTGAAATTCAAAGGAGTTAAAATAACATCTTGAGACTGAAAGACATTTCCAAGAATATCTTTTTCACTGGCTGCAGACTTTGATGGAAAGTCCTAGTTCTTCTTCTTCTTTGTGTTCACCAGCTGTACACTCTGGCGTAAAGTTCTGGTTGTTCGTCCACTACTGAACTGCAGTCATGCTCCAGAACCTGAGTGTTGCATGTGCATCAGTTTTACAGATCTGATTCAATTGAATGCAGACTGCTGGTTCCTTGCCTCTCAGGCAGATGCACTCCGACTTCAAAGGAAGCTCCCCAGTTAGTCGACTCTTACGACATGCTTTTGGGGAGGCAGTGGGTCTATTCTTGTTTTCCCCACAATAGGGCCCCGGAACCCACACGGGGGGAAAAGTCCTAGTTGTTCATCTCCCTTGTTGTTAGTAGTAGCCATTATAATTGGGTAATGAAAAAAAAAATGTTAAAGGCAATACTAGCATTGATTGGGTAGAGAACAGACAATTGGAAGATCTAAATTTTGCAGATGATATTGTTGTGTTAAGTAAAAATAACAAAGACGTGCTAAGAAAAATGTGATTTGTCATCACATATAGGACAATAAATAAGTTATGAGAGAAAAAAAAATATGTCAAAGATACCAGCCTCCGTTCATGTAGATGTTATGCTAGACAACAAACCAATAAAAGTAACTGACCATTTCATCTTTTTGCATAGTGATTTTTAGTCTCAGTGAGATACAGCGAAGGAAATTATGATACACATTGGCACAGCAACAACAGTCTTTTAAAGCTTTAACCAAATATGGAGATCAAAGTTATACAGCTTTAAGACCAATTTTGTGAATCTTCAATTCTAACGTTATTTCACTTCTAACATATGCCAGCAGCAAAAGTTGGAGAACCACCAAAGATATGGAACAAAGGTTAAATACATTTAAAAATAAATGCCTGAGAAAGATCATGAACATAAAATAGGGTGAATTCAAACAAAAGTGAGGAGATCAGAGAGATGTCTGGACAAATACCTGTATTTACTGCAATAAGACAAAGAAGGTGGAGATATCTGGCACACTGTGAGACAAAATGAGCAAAGAATTACTAAATAGACACTAAAATATAAACAACAGGTCTGAGAGAAAACAAAAAGAGGTCATCCAAGGGAAACATTAAGAAAAACATTATTAAAAAAAGTACTGAACTCTATGTCAGAAATTGAGAAAGTTGCATACAAAAGAGGGGAGTTGAGGAATTGAATGTGAGCCCTATGTAAAATCCTACGGCATGCAAAGAATGATGATGAGTTGTGATACATGTAAAGTTGAAAAAATAAGAAGCCAGAAGAAGACTAGGACTGAAACCTGTTATATAGTTCATTAAAGAGCAACATTTGAAATGGTTTGGCCATCAGACGAGAATGCTGTGCTATCAATTGCCACAGAGAGCCACATTAAAGAATTATATAGAAGGGGAAGATAACATAAAATGTGGATTGACAGCATCAATAACAGCCTTACAGAACTGAACTTTAGCTTATGCAGTACATTAAACAGAGCACACAGAATAAACTTACATCTTCTCCCAACACTTTGATGAGCTGATTGGAAGAAGAAGTGCACAATTTGATCTAATATTTTGTCTCAGCATGTTGTAGAAGTCTGTCTTGTCATTGTCATATGTACAACTTTTTACATTTTATCCACGGTTTCATATGGATGTAATTCAGGGCTTTGTCTTTTTGTTTTGTCTTGGTTTTTTTACCCCTATTGTGAAGCCTATCTGTACTGAAAGAGTTAAACAGCTACATTTCTGATAGTGAGACACAACAGGTGCAGCAATATTGCAACAACAGTCACCTGTGTTGATAATCAATAAGCTGCACATGTTCCTTTGTATGGCTGAGAACAGTGGTTCGCAGTTAACTAAGAAGACCTGGGATGTCCTTTTATTGTTTAAGGTCCGCCCAGGACCTCATACTATATAATAGCCATACTGAATAATTTACTATGAAAAACTATCATTACTGCCTGTATATACTAGTGTTTTTTTTTTTTGGGGGGGGGGGGGGGGGCTGGGGTCTTTGCGCCTTATGATTTAGGGCCATATGGCTAGTGCTCTTGCCGTGAACTGTATATGTAAGCATATTTTTTATGTTGCTTACCTGGACATAAAAAATCCTTAATCTTACTAAAGATTCGAACCCAGGTCTCCTGCATGAGAGCTCTGCTCCTCTAAGAAGAACTTATTATAATTTATACATATTAGAATAATGAAAATGATTTCACTCTAAATTAGAAGTTTTTTTTTTAATGTTGGATATCATATAATTCTTAAATTTGTTGCATAGACATGCAAGATTGAAAACAACAGCCTGTTGCATTACTGCATTATTCCTAATATACCTACCAAGTGTTTCTTGTGCAAGTTGTTTCTTTTTCTTTGTTATGTACTTTGACCTTACATTCAGTCTGAAAATAGATTAGTAATATTGGCTCATTTATTTTCCTCTATTTTCTTCTTCTTGTCCTTATTAAGCAGCTAATGTTGCTTACTCACATAATGTGTTTAAATTTGCTCTTTTAAAAATTACTTTTATATCTACACATTTTTATGAAAGAGAGAGAGAGGGGGGGGGGAGGGTTTACTACCCCTTAACCAAAGACACCTGCCCTTTTAAGAATGATCGTCACAAAAGAAGAGGTAGCAACTGACCTTGGATTCTTGCCAATTCCACAGTTGTATTCATCTGTATCTCCTGTATTATTTATTAACTGTGTTTCTAATTTCTGTCATAAAAAATTTTTTTTTTAATGTACCCTCTCTCTTAGGTTTGAAACGCCTCTCCTGTATGCAGGTGTCACCCAAGACATTGTGACAACTCGTAGTGTACGGCTTGAAGTCTGCATGTCTCAGAAAAATACTCGAAAAGTCTTCCTAATGGGCATGGCGCACCTGCCCCTCCGTGTGGCAGTAAAACATCCAATCAGGGAGAAGTATCCACTGATCACATGCATGAATCACACCATCCCAAACAGCATGAGAGTCTACAGTGCCCGAGACATTATCTTTGGTAACTCCCCTCTAGATCAGTCGCTGTCAAGATCTGATTCCATGCACTCAAGTTTTAGTTGCCCAGCGGCCACCAAAGACATGTACCTAGGAAATGTGGAGCATTACTTGCGGAGAACCTCTGTAGAGCTTACTGATTCCGATTGTGATGATGGTGTTGGAAGCAGCATTGACATCATCTCTACTCTTGGAAAGAGTAGCAGTTCATCAGCCGGAAATGTTGATGTTCTGTCCCTGGCTGCAGACAGCGAAGAAGCCTCAACAAGTCTTCAAGAAGCAACTGGACTTCAAAAAGACGCCTATTCTAGTGCTACGTCTGATGGTAACTATACAGAACACCCCAAACCAAAGAAGAGAATTATACCTTATGAACTAATGGATAAAGTTTCTGTTTCGGAGATAAATCTTGAAAACCTTCCGAAGGAAAAGTCCCCAGTGGTCAATGCAATGGAGGATGATACTCCAACTGCAAAAATAAACATTAAAGAAGATAACATCAACAGCCAAGTTAAGACCACTCTGGTACAGAAGGAAAACATTTTAAGTCAAGACTCGAGTATTTCCACAGAAAATGTGTTTACAAATCCACTTGTTGGAAAGAAAAAAATAATTCCTCCAGAGCTACTATCCACAGTGGATAGTGTATCCAGAGAACACCGACAATCAGGCAATCAGAATTCCAACAAGGCAGGAACAGAACAGCAGATAATGTGATAACAGTTGTGTTTATGATGATATACATAGAGGTCATACAAGTGAATCCTCTAGAGACACATTAGAAGATTCAGCTGCAGGTCTCCAAGACACTGATAAGACCAAGGAGCCTGGGGCTTATAGTGAAACCAGCAGCAAACTTGATGAAAGTCTGGACGAGCAAAATGACAACGCAATGGAGATGAACCAGTCCCCACAGTGTGCTGCCTTCTTAGAAACATCTGACACATCATCTACCCCAGTTTCACGACCTGAAACTCCGATCTGGGATTTCTATGACTTTACACTTGAGGAGGGCGTCAAAACTGATCCTGAAACTGTAGCCGGCTCTGCAAACGATGCCGCTTCCATAGCCCTGGGAACTCTTCAGGAGAGCATCCTACGTTTGAGCCAAGCCAAAAAAGTTTTAGACACTTGCACAGTCTCAGGTCCTGTGCTGCCAGCAATAATGGTTGAAGACTTTGAAATGGATGATGATGATAATGATGTTCTTTCTGATGAAGATGAGGACAGTGTTGAAAGCTGAGAGTGTGGCATAACTTATCTTACCTGCGCCATTTGTAGATCACATTACTTTATCTCATATATACACATACATTTTTATTTTATTTTTTATTTTAAATTATCTGCCTTGTTTGAAGACTGCAGGGTGAAATAGTGCCTTCATCATGGGCGGGGATCGCCATGCCTCCAAATAGTACAATATAACACTTGACTAGAAAAATGGACATGCCAATATGTTAGAAAGAAAACTGTAGTATATATAAAACAGAAAAGTAAGAGGGAAAGATCAGCAGGAGGAGACCAAAGAAAATGTTCCACATCATTGCATATAGGAGCATCTGTATTAAATGAATGATGAGTTAAGAACTGACATTGTAGCACTTGGGACATTCCCATAAGTGCTCCGTTCCAATTTCAGCAGTAAGCACAGAGTTCCAATTCTGATGATACCATTAACAGTCTGATTTTATGTCATCTCACCCCTGCCCTGAACATTGAGCGTTGACCAGATCCCCTGGTCATTCCGCGCAGACTGTGATGATTGTTTCCTGCCTCCACGCTGTTTATTCGCTTCTAAAGGGTCCTTAAAACATCTTGCTTATCATGTATCAGTCTACCACCAAGTTATGCAGAACCAGCCAGTCTATCTGCCTGTTCATTACCCATAACAGTGGCAACACCTGGAGAAAATATCAAAGGGCGCTAACTACCCGGAACCTATGAATCTGTATCTAGTGATTGACAGTACTCATGACATAAGTTTGGCAATGTTTGCCGAATAACCGCCAGGTCCATTCCGGTTAATTCTTTTCCCTTGTCTGATACGTGTGGTGCTGACTCTCTGTTTCTCTTTCTCTCTCTCTCTCTCTCTCTCTCTCTCTCTCTCTCTCTCTCTCTCTCTCTCTCTCTCTCTCTCTCTCTCTCTCTCTTTCTCTCTACATCGAGTCAGTGATCAGGCGGTTGAAAAATAATTGTTCTTTTTTTATTGATTTTAGTTCAATCATAATAAGAAATTATGACATGGTTATGACTTACAATCAGGTGTCTCCTTGGAATAAACAACTTCAAAAAAAATAATATGCATTACAAACGGATGTAGAAATCGACAAGTTCATTTCTTTCTGTGGTTTTCTATGCAATGGATTCATCACCCTATATGCTGCCTTCACTGGATAAGGTAAATTGCAACATATATATGTATATAATAGTTCACTCGCTATACAGAACTTAACGTCTATTTGAAAATATCATCAGTGTCCTTTTTTAACATCCACTTCCTGCATGGTGCTATGGCGTTAGTGTTCGGTCATTTAGTTTGGTTTTTCTTTTTTCCTTAGTTCTTTCCATCTTCCTCTTGCCTACCATAATGCCTTATTCCGTTTACTGATAGTTAAGTTACATCGCTACCTTGTCTGTCCACATCAGTCTATGCCAAACAGGACTGGTCCCTTACAATGTCCAAGAACTAAGCAAGACTGGAGCCTCGCCATCTGTATCCTGCAACTCGCCGTCCATGCTTTTATAGTTTTTCTGTTGCTAACTACTGTTGCTATGCAAAGCCAGGCGTCCTTGGGAGAATCTGTATGTTTATAACCTGAACTCCAGCTTGGGCTCACCTAATTTATCAAGTCATCTGAGTTTCCATGTTTACCTTCTGTCTGGAAAAACTGAGATGAAATTTGACTGTTTATTGCAATCAAATAACATCAACTTTACCTGAGTTTTTGAAAACATACTTTGTTTCTTAATCATCTGGGAAATGATTTGAATTCATTTGGATACAATGTGTCATGCTGTAGGGGCATCTTCTTGTCTGGCAGTGTTAGTCAACTTTATTGTCTTGAGGATTACTTAATCTAACACAAGGTTATTTTGTTAGTTTCTTATCTTGTCGGCGTACCTTCAACAATTGTCCTGTAACTAAAACTAACATCTTTGTGATTATTTCATTACACCGGGGAAGAGATTTTATCACTAATGAATTTATTTCCCATGGTTGCCATAAACATAGCTTTCACCTTGTGGGAGTCGTCTGGGCATTCAATAATTCTTGCCATGGAACTAAGAAAATACAGCTAGAAAGTTTACAGTTGCTCAGGGCGTTTGCTCATTTCATATCTTTTGGCCAGACAACAGTTACCTGACTGGGGAACTAGAACAATATCTGGTTGAAATTAAGCAGCAAGTGTCCTTTTTATAATTTAAGTTCTAGGTGGCTTTCGGTAGTAAGGCAGTATCCCTGACTGTGAGTGGAGGTTCAATCCCTTCCAGTGTTTTAACTTCTGAACGAACGCTCTAGCCGGAGCACGGGTATGTATTTGCATCTTAATGCACCTAGCACTGTCACAGAAGATTGTGGTCAGACATGATGACCAGCACCACATTGCCATGTGCTTTAGAAATAATAGAAGCCTATGACATCCTTGTCCACATCATGGCATACCAGAGGATCAGTTCTGAAGACTAACTTGTGGACATCTCACTTATTCTTATCTGTTGTCCACTCTCTTGTTCTTGAGAAAATAGTGTGATAGTTTCCCATTTCCTTCCACATCCACACGGATGGTTTGCGACCTCTGCCATTTACAGCACTTTTATAACAAATAAGTACCCTGCTTGGCTCAATTTAAAAAAAAAAAAATGCTTATGAATGACAAAATAAATATGGTAGATAAAAAGCCTTCATCAGCATACAAAAACAAGGAAATTGATATTATGACATTAAAAGCCTGCATATAATAACTTATCTTCTCCACATTTCCACATATATTTTTAACAAAAAAGCTGCTGATATGCACCCTCTGTTCAGTTGTAGATTTGTCCTCATATTCGGGTCAGTACTGTGCCATCAACTGCGTTCTTATGTGTTGTTGTTCATCCTGTTCAGATAGAAAGGGCATTTCCTTTTATCACATTGAGACCATGATAGTATTTGTTGAAACTGTCCTGTCATTTTGAGACATTTTATAGCATTGTTGTTCTGAGCAGCCCTAGGTACATTTTAAGGACATTTTATAGCATTGTTGCTATGAGCAGCCCTAGGTACATTTTCCAGAATCTTTGACTTCCATGACTGTTTTGTCAAAACCACTGTGATGTTTCGTATAGCCAAAGTATTTCAGCTTCCATGACATGATTCTCTTTATAAACCATTTTTTTTTTTCATAACTAAAAGTAGATCTTCTGCATTTGCCCTACAAGCTGTGGTTGACACCTTGTATTGGGGTTTACAGCTAAGCTTCGATATCTAGCTTTCAACTTCACACATCTAATGTCAGTCACATTTTAATCAGTGTCTTACGTATGGTGAACACACTTCGTAATTTTGAGATGCCAGGTGTGGGCGATTTGATGATAGACTGCTTAACGTTGGTTTCAACATTGGTATAGAGAGCTGACCATTCAGAAGCAGTGACAAACTATAACGTATGTTCAGTTGTCTAGCGACATCACAAACTGCCAACAAAATGCTAGAGTTGGTTCTGTAAAGACACACAACTAACTTGGTAAAGGGGCACTAGGACTTTTTATTTCCTGCCTAAAATGGAACCCTGAAACCGACACTAGCACAGAAATAGATCATTCCTACATACAGTAAGTTTTTTGGGCAAAATTATTTGCTTAGATTTAAATGTAGATAATTACATTGTTGTTAATGTTGATAACTGAGCTGCCTTTGATTATGCTTCCTATTGTTGAAGTTGATCAGTTGTTAGTCAGGCTGCACACATAAGACACTGATTTGATCTTTATCATGTATCCTACAGCAAGTTAAGTTTGTAGGCTTCTGCCTTTTCAGTCCTTTTTGGTCAGCCAAACTACAAGAGAACCTGCCAAGTGCCTTGTGGGTGGAAAGTTGTTATTTTATTGAAAACAATATATTGATGTTTTCTGATCTGCTTTTATCTCAAGTATTTTGTGAGTGGACCAAAAAAAAATTTTTAAACTATTGTATTGATTTTTTGTGATCTGGTTTTATCTCACATATTTTGTGAGCAGACAAAGATTTTAATTGAAAAATATACTAAGGTGTTGTGATCTGGTTTTAAATGAAGTGAAGATTCTGGGGTCAGGGTCCCGTTATGGGGAACAACAAAAATAGACCCACTGCTTCCCCAATAAGCATGTCATAAGAGTCAACTAACTGAGATCTTCCTTTGAAGTTGGAATGCATCTGCCAGAGTGGCAAGGAACCAACAGTCTGCGTACAAATAAGTTAGATCTGTATAAACACAGATGTGCACACAACACTCAGGTTCTTTAACAAGACTAAAGTCCAGAGATGAACAAACAACCAGAACATTCCACTGGAGTTTACAGCCAGTGAGCAAGAAGAAGAAGATGAAGATATTAAAAGTCTTGTGGGTAGTGAGTTGTTATTTTACTGAAAGCAATATGTTGACATGTTGTGACCTAAATTTATCTCATCTTGTTGGTAAAGAATTTTTTTTTTTTTATCCTTTCGCTGCTATGCCCTCCGCCAGCCAATGTAACCACTGTGCTAAGCCATGCTAGAGCTAATCTTTCCTCCTGTGCTGAATACCGTTTTTCCCTTCAAAAGCAGAAGATGCGCTGGTGGTGTGGGGTAAAAATTGTACACCAAAAATAAAAACTCTAAAGGCGTGTTGTTGAACTTTGCGCTGACAAGTCAGACACGCTATTTCTATGCCATGAAAACTCATTGACAAAAAGAAAACACTACAAACTTACAAAGCAAACACAAAACACTTTAGTAAGCAAATATGTGGTTTTCATTATTATTAATAATATCTTTTTGTGTGAAATATTTCCAAACAAGATGCGACACACAATGCCAAATCACAATCCTTGCACATGTATCTGGTTTCCCGTCGATTTTTGCTTTTTGCGCATACCACACACTTTCTTGTTGGGAATTTTTTCTGTGATGTTACGGACTCTATTGATGAAGGGAAAAGCCTTTGTACTAAAGGAAGTGGTAGATCTTCATTTGGTCCTCCTACACTTCTTCTCTTTTCCTTGCAATATTTCTGTAGAATTTCT